GAACATTTATTTGTGCTAACAGAGTGCTAACCAGTACACTATGGTATGGGTATTCATTTGGACTACCATGACATTTGTTTTGTAAAATTCTTTATGATGAGGGTTGTTGGGAAACATTACTTGACCTATAGTGCTGTCATTGTTAGTGTCAGTATGCATGGATATTATTATTGATAAAAGTAAGTGAAATGATTATTGAGTGGAAAAAAGAAGAAAATTCCCAAGTGAGTTAGGGCCATGTCTGGGGTATAAATTAGTCGGTGGGGAGGGGAGAGTGTCCAACATTAATTTTCAAATGAATAAGAGAAGGAAAAAGGAGGCCTTCTCCAGAATTCAATAGCACATTTCTCACCAGGAGAACCATAAACTACAATTACAGTATCGAAATGAGGGCATTGAAGAGAACAGATTTATAGGATAATAGGACACGCTTTGGGGAAACAAAGAGTGTTCAGATTACTTTAAAGGCCTGTAGGCTTTTACATGGATGTAATTCAGTGATGCCAGAGTCTGCTTTAAAATTAAGCAAGGATGAATGTTTAACAATTGTCTTGCTAGGTCTTTAATAAAGTTTCTAGCAAAGGCAATCAGACTTTGATGTCTAATCCCATTATTTCAAGTAGGGCACACCTCACTGCAGACTTTCACATACATAATTATTAAAGCTCAGCATTAGATGAGGTCATATGTCCCCCCCCCAAAAAAAACCACACAGACACAAACATATAAAAGTGCCGGTTTACACAATCATAAGATCACAAGTGAGAACCCACAAGAACCTGCAGGAGAAGTATAGTTTCCCACTCCCCACTATTTCCTCTTTCCTGAAAGCCCCCATAGACTCCCCCCTTTTTCTGCTTCCTTACAGTTGCCTGCTCCAGGTTGGGAAATTCCTGGAGATTTGGATGTGCAGTCTTTGTAGGGAAAAAAGAAAGCTTTGGGGAGGGAAGCGACCTCAGCAGGGTACAATGCCACAGAGTCCACCCTCCAAAGCAGCCATTTCCTCCAGGGGAACTGATCTTTGTCATCTGGAGAGCACTTGTAATTTCAGGTTATCTCCAGCCCCCACCTGGAGGTTGGCAACCCTAGTTCCTCTGGAGGATATGGATATTTTGGAGGGTGGAGTCTATGGCATTATACCCCTCTTGAGGTCCCTCCACTCCTCAAACCCCACCCATCCTCAGGCTCTACCCCCCCCCCAATTTCTAGGAGTTTCCTAAACCTGGAGTTGGCAACCCTATCTTCTTCCCACCCAACAGCAGCCTTATGTATCTTAAACTGTTCCACCCCACCCCACCCTGCAACCTCTGCCTAGGAAAACTATGGCCCAGTTGTGTCATGCCAGCCACTAGACCAGGCCCACTTGCATGGTAGGGGACCCTCAAGGAATTGTGAGGGGGTGCCTCACTTTTATCTCACTCCTCACACTATTTCCTCTTTAAAAACCCTCTCCCTGGCAATCCCCATATCCCCTCCACTTTACCTGCCTCATTCTCACTACGAAATCACCCCGTGAGCCTCACAGCAAGATGGAGACTTCAACCTGGGTTTCCCAGACCCTACTCCAAACCTCTAACCACCACCCCACACTGGTTTTCATATGGTGGCTGCTGTTGAACAGCAGCAAGCAACTACTCCTAGCTGAGTCATGCCAATCGGGTGGTATTGAGTAATCCAGAGGTTGCTTTCAGGGCTCTGGCTTCCAATCTCCAGGTAGGACCTGGAGATCTCCTAGAATTACAACTGAACTCCAGATGAAAGAGATCTATCCCCCTGGAGAAAATGGTTGCTTTGGAGGATGAACTCTATGCCATTAAATGCAGCTGTGGTCTCTCCCCTCCCCAAACCCTGCCCTCCCCTGGCATCATCCAAATCTCCAGAACTTTCCCAACCTGGAGCTCACAACCCTAGCCAGGACTGGTCCTAAGAAATCCTCACTCAAAGGCCAAAACTGGAAAGGTCTCTGCCCTCTCTCCCTGCCTTTTTACTCAGAGAAATCCAGCTTGGAATACTGTGGTTGCCTAGGAACAGCCACTGAGGGAATCCTTCACTTAAAGCTACATTTGCGCCTTGTATCATTTTGGGTTTTTTTTTAACCACCCCAATGTATTTTTTTTAATTCACATTTTCCTGCAAACCTGGAACCCTTTTCAGGTTTATAGAAAGATCTGTCCATTCACAGCTCCAGTTGTCAGATTTAAGCACTGATTTAGCTGACTTTGCTATAAAGCAGGCACAGCATCAAAATAGGGCTTACTTGGTCAGTTGCCGGCCAATTGGGGGACACATTCCCAATGGCAGCTTCTGCCAATGAAGCTGTGTGACTTTCCCTCCCTCATCCCATCTCCCTACCCAGCTTTGCCAATGAGGCTGTAACTCTCCCTCCCTCAGCCTGCCTCCTTCCCCAGCTTTGCCAATGAGGCTGTAACTCTCCCTCCCTCAGCCTGCCTCCTTCCCCAGCTTTGCCAATGAGGCTGTAACTCTCCCTCCCTCTTTGGCTTTCCCTTTGCAGTTTACTTCCTGCACAAAGCAGTAGTTTCTGCGTGCTCTGGAGCACGTAACAAAGTCCTTTTTGCGCTTTAGCCCATTGGCTCATGACAGCTGATTCTTTTCATCATCAACACATAATGTACCTTTTTTGGCTTTATTTTTGTGGGGAGGTGGGAAGTGGGTTCAAATATGGTCAGAAATAGAGGGGGTGAGAGGCAGCAGCCTCTGTATTCTGCCTTTCACAAATGGACTTGTGACTGTTTTCCACAGTTTATGCGGGCACCCATGCAACTGTTTTGGCCCTTGAAAATGCTTGGGAGGGGGAGAACTCTGCACCACAAGCCCACAGTGGATCAGGGCATCATGACATTTTAAAATCACTATGAAATGGTGATGATGAATTGGTGCTATCCCCATTTTTCCTTAATTTTTAGCTGGGCTCAGTGAGTGTGTGTGTGGAGAATCACTGTCTGTATCTGTAGGGAGGAGCCCCCCAACCCTTCCCTTCCCACCTATGTGAAGCCAAGAAGCCACCCTTCCCCTGCCTTTCAGGCAGGCTGTAGCTGCAAAGCAAGCATGTGTGTGCACACATGCTTATTAGGGTTCCCAACTCCATGTTGGGAAATTCCTAGAGATTTGGGGGATAAAGCCTTGTGGAAGGTGGGGGAGGGAATATTAATTGGGTATAATGACACAGAGTCTATCCTCTGAAGTAACCATTTTCTCTAGGGAAAGTGAATGCTGTAGTCTGGAGATAACTTATAATTCTGGGAGATCTCTAGGCTCCAAGTGGAGGTTGGCATCCCTATTGTGAGTCCTCTTGCAGCAAGTTACCTGGAGCCAAACCAGAGCAGGGATGGGTGTGTGTGTGAGTTCAATGGAAGGTGGTGTTGTGAATCAAAGGGGCCATCCATCCAAGAAAATGCACTCTCTTCTATGAGTTCTGTAATCACAGCTTCATTTCATGCTCAGAGGAAGAAACGGACGCTTTTATGGTGATACATTGGTGTGTGGGGGGATTTCCATTTGCCACACTGCAACCCAGGAAAATGGAAGGACAAATAATGGAGGGGAGGGGGGCGTGATCTTCATGCATTTACAAGGGTCTGCTCATCATGTGTAAATATATGAACAAAAAATGGGTTATCGCTTAACCTTCTTTGTAGAATGATCCCTTGTAGAGACTTTGCGCTACATCATATCTTGTTCACTGAGCCCCGCATTCCTAAATACAGTTGTGGCTTTGCAGTTGTTGCTGACAATTCCTTTTTCAATTGCATCAGCTGAAAGGAGCTTCAGCAAGCTGAAATTAATTAAGAACTATCTCAGGGCACAAATGTTCCAAGATTAACTGAATGCTTTAGCACTCCTGTCAACTGAATCACTTCAAGCACAATATGTAGATTTTGATACTGCAATGCACCATGTTTCTATTGAAAAAATAAGATGGAAACTGTTTTGATTACACTTGAGAGCCAGCGTGGTGCAGTAGTTAAGAGCAGAGGACTCTAATTTGGAGAACCACGTTTGATTCCCCACTCCTCCATATGAAGCCAGCTGGGTGACCTTGGGCCAGTCACAGTTCTCTCAGAACTCTCTCAGCCTCACTTACCTCAAAAGGTACCAAAAGTGGCGAGAGGAAGGGAAGGCAATTGTAAGCCACTTTGAGACTCCGTAAGGTGGAGAAAAGTGGAGCATAAAAACCAGCTCTTCTTCTACATGCACCTAGATATGTAATTTTCTAGAAAATTTCCAGCCCTTCACATCTCTACATGCACCACTGCATGGACACTCAGAGGATTTGGTTTTCAGTTTTTGTTTGCAAACATCATATGCAATTCATGTTGAAAGGCATTTTGTTATGGAAAAAGAAATATATTTGCTATACCAGCGCTACGTCTAAATTATACTGTTTTATACAAGGTAATAAAAAGTAATCAAAAAAGCAAAATTTTCTGTGATTTCTCTTTACCAAAGCAAGAAAAATTGAAATATAAAAGGGAGTGGTTAAAGATGAAAGGGTAGAGCCAAATGGGAGCAGCCAATTAGAAGGGGTGCTGCTGGAGGAGAAAGGGGCTGCACCAAAGGAAAATGGGGGCCCGGTTATAGTTTTTTGCCCAGGGCCCACAAAAACCTGTAACCGGCCACAAAAACCTGTAACTGGAATTATTTATTCATCTGTATCCCCATGTAATTCTTTACTGATTTGGTTGAAAATGCCATCCAGGTAACTCACCTGAACAAACTGTATTTCACACACACACACACACACACACACACACCCAACCGGGGATTAGACCTAGGGGGACAGTGTGCAAATACAACAAGGGGACATGATCTGAAAAGCCCAAAGTCTACTATGTGCAATGTTAATACAGCACAGAGTTCACAGTAAGGCAATTCCACTCTGCTTTGTGTGTGAACAGAACTTAAAGACAAATTCCTTGTTCGTGCATGGCAGAAAACTAAATTTGTGCCTCAGCTGCAGAATTGTACACTTGATTCCTTACCTTTTCTGATTCATGCGGAGCTCCCTGTGGAGGTCTTGATGATTCCGAGATGATTTGACAGGATTAATTAGTTTTTGAGGTCTAATTAACTCCGGATTGTCTTCGTCTATGTAGTCTGGTTCAGCCATGATGTTTCTTGGAAAGAAGGAAGAGCCTCTGAACACCAGATCCTCACTTAAGTTATCTGTAATACACAGAAAACATTTTTTTGCTTCATTAACTTTAGCAAAATACACACAGGCAGGATTGCTAATATGGATAGGGCTTGCATTTGATCAAATCATGACACATTAAAAGTATCCATCATGACAGGAAGCAAGAACAGAGTTCCTGCCTGCACACTGAGAGCCCTACAAATGTGTATATGGCACATGCACAAATTTAATGCAGTCTTTCAAGTCAATACGTGTCATTTAAAGGTGGGGTCTACATCCACAGTCCCATTCCTGTCATCCTTGTTTGTTAACTGAAAATCTGAAAGGGGGGTCAGTGTGCTATGTGGGTTTTTCCAACTCCTATATTCTTGCATTCCCGCAGTTGCACAAACTGACCAAAGAGAAGCCATGTAGGAAGGACATGGCATATAGCAGTTGGGCAAACACACTACTTGCAGATTAGAGGCTCCTTGCAAGGTTGGGCAGGATGAGGCTCTTGTGTGACTTCTGGCAGATGACAAGGGGGGGGGAGAGAGAGCAGGTTTCCTTTTGCAGACTGGTCCAGCTCTCAACAAACTACTGTAATCACATTACAGACAGCATATTGTCTGGCAACAGCATCAACACCTACAGTCCATTTTTGTTACAGTCCTGCTGTCTTATTGCAAGGAGGAATTCTCTAGGCAGGCTTGTGGCCATGGATTATGAACCCTAAATTAGCACGGCATCAATGAAGCGAGTCACACATTTAGATGGTCCGATCACACCCTCTTGCAGAGAGAGCCATCACACTTGGTCCCCCCAGTGTGAGGTGGCTGGCTAAGATGCTCAGGGGAGTCCCGGGCTTTGTACTGGGAGTGCTGCAGTTGCTTTGGGGCAGACCCTGCTGTAGCTCTAGTCACAGCTACTTTTGTGTGTGTTTTACATGCTTCAATTTTAAATTTAAAGACCATCTGATTACACGGACTGCTTAAAGACAGGGGCAGTCTTAGTGATCCTGAGACGCTGGGCAAAAGTTCAGGATAGGGCCCCAGAACTACTGCCCCCCCCCACAGCAGGGCTAAACAAGGAGTGGCCCCTGAGCCACGTGAGGTGAGCAGGAGCCACCACAGCTGCCTGGAGCCAGCTTCCTGAGCCCCAGATAGGACAAGTGCAATTGGTGTCAAGAACCTGCTCCTCTTTTCCATCCTCCTCTGAGGCGGCAGGGCTGCTGGTAGTCCGCCCCTCCCAGACATGGGACCCAGGGCAGCTGCCCATTGGCAAAGACCATCCCTGCTTAAATGCCTTACATGCTTGCCTCTAAATCAACCCTGTAAAGGCTGCTTGGAACATCCCACTGGATGGTGAAATGTAAAGGTGAAGGTTTCCCTTGCTCGAAAGCCAGTCAAATCTGACTCTAGGGGGCAGTGCTCATCTCCGTTTCCAAGCCAAAGAGCCAGTGCTGTCCAAAGGCTTCTCCATAGTCATGTGGCTGGCATGACTAAACGCCGAGGCACACAGAACGCCTTCCCACCGAAGCAATACCTCTTTATCTACTTGCAGTTTCTTGCTTTCGAACTGCTAGGTTGGCAGGAACTGGGGCCAGAGACGGGAGCTCACTCTGTCACGTGGCACTAGAGTCTCGAACTGCCGAGCTACGGACCTTCTGGTCTGCAGCTCAGCATCTTAACCTCTGAGCCACTACTGGATGGGGGGGAAGCACAAAACCATTCCAGAGATCTGTGTTAGTGGCAACAATCATTTGTTTGTGCTAATCCTGGTGAAGAGGAAGAGCCAAACAGCTACTGCAACCTAGCCAGATCCATTTCACCATTAACAAGAGAGGAACAGTTATGATGATAGAACATATTCAAGGCTGGTGCAATGCTTTGATGGAGCGGATGCGGAGTCATAGACTCATACAATCATAGAGTTGGAAGGGACCTCCCGGGTCAGCTAGTCCAACCCCCTGCTCAATGCAGGAAATTCACAGATATCTCCCCCTCTACACCTGCAGTGACCACTGTTCTAGTGCAGTGACCACTGTTCCACACCCAGAAGATGACCACTGCCCCCAGAACAAAGGACTCAGAAAGCTCTCAAAAGAGGATGCACATGTAACCTGACCCATACTGATGTAAACTCTGAAGCAGTGGTCTCCCACAAAGGGAGAGAAACATGTTCCAGGGAGGCTGTTAACATCAAACTCAATGCTTCAGGTGCCGCATCAGAATTATGGAAAGAAGAGGAGCCAGTTCACTTCAGCCTACTGTACATCATGAGTCCTTCAAGGTGGCTGGCCAACAAAAGTCTAGAATGAAATGCCTTCTTGTCAGGACTCCAAACTACATTCCATCTTGTATTTTTTAAATGTCACTTCAATCTTATCTTTTGACTTGCACAAGGGGAGGGATCTCCCACACTAAGCCTTGGATCCATGGGATGGGTGGGTGATGGAGCCTCACCCACTGGAGCTTTTCAGAAGGACTTTCTCCTGGCATGCCTGCATAGAAATCAAGGGCACAATACCTCCTGTTTCTCTTTGCAAGAATGCTGAGGGGAGCTGCCGGCCCATGAGGCAAGGGTAGTCTGGTGGACTGGTCAGGTTATAAATGTCTCTAATCCTTGGCTTGTTCTTCACTATGATACCCATACTGGTGCTTGGCTTGTGTTTCTGCCTGCTGTTTCCTGGGTCTGTTGCCCACACAACTGGCCTTGACACCGTCACAAACTCTCAGCCTGACCTACCTTACAGGGTTGTTGTAGGAAAATGGAGGAAGAGAGAACAATGTTCTAAGCTACTTTTAGTCTCAACTGTGGAGAAAAGCAGAATATAAACAAATGTGTATTTAAAATTGACTGTAAATATGGAACAGGGTGGAAAATATGAGACTGAGGCAAAACAGGAGAATGCACACATGAAACAAAAGCTTCTTGAAGCACGTGCATGAGAATCACACATGAGAAGAAGCTGATGACCAATCAGTTTTACAAGCATTGCTACATTACCTATTCTATGGAATGAATGCAGGGTTCATATATCATTTAATATATATACTTTGCTTTCTTCACCCACCACACTGGAACTTACTATGAGTAAAGAAATGGCTGGGTCCCCTTTCCCAGGTGCCACAGGGGGTAGATCAGAGCTACTATGAGAGACGTGATCAGGGAAGACTGCTACTCCTCAAGACTGTAGAGCCAGCCAGTGGGTGACAAGCATTAGACCTCCAGGATTTCTTACCCACTTCAAGGCTTACCAGACTACAGCGATTTTCTGCTGTCACAGAGCAAATTATACCCCATAGATTCACATGCAACCTTTTCCCCCTCATTGATTAAAGCTTGGGGGAATAGTCTCAAGAAAGTGTTCTATGATACATTCTTAATTGTGGTTTATGCCTACCTAATAATGACTGAAGGAGCAAGGACTTCATGGACCATGTGTGGAGAACCACACAATGATCTGGGAGTTGGGACCCATGTGGTACGTCTGACTGTACACGCCTGCTCAGCTCCTAGAGCTCATTCACCCACTCACTTGGAAAACGCAATAATGTCTCTAAGCATGTGCAGATTGTTTTCTATAAATCCACGACTGTAGTCATGCTTCTTTAAAGAAAAGGGGACCTCCAGGCCAAGAGTAGAGATGTGAAGGCCCAGAAAAACACCGGAAAAATTTGGGGGGAAAACCGGGTTTTTTCCTGTTTTTTTCCTGAAGCCTTTTTTGGGTTTTTTCTGAAAAATTGGAAAAATTGAAAAAAGAAAAGAATTTTTTTTTATTATGGAATGTTTTATTTTAACATGATGAATAAAATATTTTAAGACCAGGTGTTCAAATATTTTCCAAATCATTTCTAAAATATATATATATATGGTATCAGATTGATGTAATTTCTGTGCACTGAGGACAAGCAAGTCCTAGGTTACAAACTGAACTCTCCAATGCAAGAACAAGATTAGGAGGTGCGATTGTCAGAAGAAAATAAAAAAGTTTCAGTTTTGTTTTTGCATGTGGGTGGGTATTCTGTAATAATTGTTTGGATACACTATATTTTTAATATGCTAGTTGTGATCATTTCATGCCAAGTAAAAATGTCCATAGTCATATTTTATGTTCCGAAAGTAACAGAATGACTTTCAAACTAGAAAAGACAAAAGAAATGCTAATGTAGCATTTTTTCTATTTTTCCGAAAATTTCCGTTTTCCCCCGGAAAAAAACAGGGGGAAACCGGGTTTTTTTCCGAGCTTCAAAATTTCTGGAAATGGGCCTCATGGCTGCTAGCGGCCCTGTAACTGTACCTTAAACAGCCCTGTAACTGTACCTTAAACAGCAGCTTTATCAGAAGACATTAGCAGGTGATCAAAGCTTTACCTGGTAGTTACAGTCAGCTTCATTTGCAGAAAAGGCACAAGCAGAGAGAAATTTTTTTGGATAGCTGACAACTTTCACCACACTGAAATTGGGGCTCAAAAGGGAAACTCCTCCCACAAAACTCACGTCTGGCCCTTGCATCAAGGACCATAGTTGACCATAACAGCATAGCACCACTGTAAGGCTTCTAAAATATAAATGATTATAAAACCAAAGTGACTAGATTCAGTCTCAATTAAAGGACAAAGTATAGCAAGAGGGTGGGAACATGCATTAATCAGCATATTCAGAATAATCCCAAATGATTATCCTCTGAAAAATAAGCGTCACAAGGAAATATGCATGAATACTGGTCCCCAAAAGTAATTATAAATTCATTAAAATGCAACTGAACATTAAAACTTGCAGAGAACCCACAGCAAATTATATTCTTGTTACAAACTATTCCATATTTTAATACCGAAAATAATATTGTGGGAAATTATCCATAGGCTGAAAATCAGAACAAGGACATGAAAATCCTTCCCGGAGCGAGATATCAAGCCGAACGTTAAATAAATAAATAAATTAAATAAATAAACACAATAGCACTTTTTAATATGAATTCAGGTTTTTGTTGAAGGACGCTTTTCTAAAGCTTTGATACTATGAGACAAAAGGATATGGTCAAACAG